AACACTTATAAAAACACCACAAAACTACGAACTAGATAATCAAAAGAGAATAAACACCAATAAAACACTCGAAAACTACCTATTACACGTCCGATTTGCAGATCATCAATTTTAGTTCAGGACATGCCTAGATATTTGACAGTGACAGATATATTTTTCAGTTGCCATTTTACACATATTTAATAGAAATTACCTGCATTGAAGATTATCTTAATAAAGGTGGAATTTATTATAGACGGAAATCAATTTAACAGTCGTTGAAAAATAAGTTAAAGCAAGGGTTTTGTTATTAAAATAATGGCAGGGGTTTGCTGATGCAATATTGAAAGGAAGTTCAATTGATATTGTTGAAATGAAAATGGACTTTCAAAAAATTAAAAATATTCTATGTCTATTTTTTAAATCTTCAGCCGTTTACTAAAATTATTATAATAATATAAATATAGCTTTAGAAGAAAATGAGAAAAATTACAACATTAATTTTTTATTACACTCTTTTAATAAAGAATGGCGTATCCAGTAAGCAGAGAAGCCAATGTTCAAGCTTGTCAAAGCGTAGTTTTATTGTCAGTCCTTTTAAATACAAATATTTTCATAACAAAATAATTATTCAAAAGACATTAGCATTCAAATAATTTATCTTTATAATAAATATTAACACCAAATATACTATGTTTCCTAAAAGAGATTAAACTATCTAGAAAATACGTGTACGTGTAATATCGTAAATAGAGAAAAGTTTATAATAATTCATATATTATGTATGAAAGTATAACTGAAAATGCGGTGTAGTGTACAAAATTGTACAAATGATACAAAACGAACAACTAAAAGCCATGGAATTACATTTCATATGTAAGTTTTGTTGATTTTTCTACATCAATAACCTAAGACAACTAAAGTACATAAATAATGCAAATTTTGAACAACATTTTTATAAATTCGTTTAAACATTTCAGTTTTGTAACTATTTATATATCATAATTTTATTTGGTTATCTGTAGAATGTTACAACTTTCGTCACATAAATAAATACTTTAACATAAGATTCCTTGTTTCCTTGTCCCAGGTTTCCGAGGGAAGCTAGCTTGCGTACCAAATGGATAGAAGCCCTCTGTATTGATTGGGAACCGAAAGACAGGAGTACTGTATGTTCTGAACACTTCAACACTGACGATTTTTATGAAACTAAATGTGGACTAAGGAAGATCAAGAATGGAGCCATACCAGTTCTTGCACAGGTAATAAATTTTACTAATATTTTAATGCAAAAGTTTTGATGGATGGATGTTTGTTAGAGTTGTAGCCTAACAGCTAAATGGATCTCAATGAAATTTGACATAAATGTGTGTATAGTCTGGAAGAACACATAGGCTAATTTTTTGTTTTATTTGACGCAGACGAAGTGGCAGGCTAGAGCTGGTATAAGTATATAATTATTATTTTATATTCTCAGGAGGTTAATAATTGATTTGTGTATGATTTTTTATTTATACTAGTTGTTTCCATCGGGTTTCATCTGCATAACATTATAAAAACTTTATTTTATCGTTTACATTTGTTAAATTAATTGCAAAAGTCAAACTGACAATGATGGCCTTTGATATTGGATAACAATTAGTTACCAGCAATCTTGCTTCTTTGATGCTGTCTTGTAGATTTTGTCCCTATTACCACATAAAGGATTTTATATTTTATAATATTTACCCCTTAAGTTTAGATGCGAAAAAATGTTATGCGACGAAATGATGGGGACATAAACCAGAAAGTGTTGAGATTGAGTGTGTATGGCTACAAAGGAAGAGGAAGACCGAAGAAAGTATGGATGGATTGTGTGAAAGAAGAAATGCTTAAGAAAGGAGTGGATTCAGATATGACGGCTGATAGAGATGTATGTAAGAGCACATACTGTGCCGACCCTTCATAAGGGATAAGGGCAAGTGGATGATGAAGTTTAGATGCGAAAAAATATATAGCCTAAAGCATGTTGTAAATGTCAGGCTTTTTTATAGAATAAGAATTATTCAAAAACATGCTGTGTAGTAATTATATTAGTACTAGCTGTTCACCTGCGACTTCATCCGCGTAAAATTATGAAAATTTTATTTTATTGTTTACATGTGTCAAATTATCAATAGAAAATGTCAAAATGACATGACATGATGACAAAGCATGGCAATCTTGCTTCCTTGATGTTGGCAGCAACTTATGGTCTCTTTCCCACATTAGGGTTTTTATCCAAAATATTTGCCCCTTAAGTTTAATGGCGTGAAAATATATAGCCTAAAGCATATCGTAGGTATAGGGCTTTTTATTATAAAAAGAATTATTCAAAAATATGGTGTAATTGCTGACATCTTAGGCAACAAAGAAGTGTGTGTTTACGCTTTATTATAATAGTATAGATAGATAGTTATAGATAAAAACCCGCTCTGGGTTAGAGTTGTAGGCTCCAAGTCCCTTTTCAAACAAGTCAATTCATATAAATATTGGTTTATTATAGTCTTGGGTAGTACACATACGATGTACTAAAAAGTAATGTTACTCGGCACTGTACTAAAAGTAACGTTACCTAACGGCTTTTGTAAATCGGACATTTAGTACTTTTAGTACACTACACGATATCGGTGTTCGCCTCTTCGTTGTTTGATTTGATTGAATATTTGACAGATTGAAGCATCCACCTTCGATAATGAGAATCATAAGTGGATACAATTATTCACTACTAAATTTATTTTCGCTAATAACATATGTTTGACCGTGCTTAAAAATTGATGTGAAGTTATATATAACCCCCGTTATATTCTATTCATGTATTCTGTTTTCAAAAATCTGAAGTACTAAAGGTACTAAAAGTGTGTACTAGTACGTTTTCCCAATTGTACTAGTACGGTGCGCACTTGCAGATGTCCGATTAAGCCCAAGACTAGTTTATTATGAAAAGATTAATTGTAATTTTTGAGATATGAGGTAATTTTTACACATTGTTTGTTTTTATATCTGCGATTGTTGTGTTTGCGTGTAAATGAAACATGTTTATGTTTATACTTTTTACTGACGTTCAACCACTGTATGTAAATCTATTTTAATATGTTTTGTTGGCATTCCTATAAAAATGAATAAATTTCAGGATTTGAATGAGGACTTAAATTCATCAGCAGTTTGGAAGGTATGTTTTAAAGATGATAAATCTTACTAATACTATAAATTTAAAATTTGAAAGGAATGAATTAATGCACCAATAATGGTTTGTGGTACGGAGTATCATGCGGACAAGGGTTCGAATCCCGCCATTCGACTGTGAACCATATCCTAGCACAAGCCTACAGCTTATTTGGAATGGTTAAAGGAAATATTAGTAAATTAACAAAAATCTACTAATAGTTAAAAAAATGTAAATGAAATCTAACATAGATTACTGTGAGATAAAGGGTATTCAGTTTTTTTGTTACTAGTTGTTGCTCATGACTTTGTTCTTATAGAATTAAAAAAAGTAGTTTAAATAGCCTGTTACTCACTGATAACATAGCTTTTTTAAAGGTTAAAGAATTGAAATTGACCCAGTAGTTTTTGAGTTAATTCATACAAATATACAATTCTTAATCTTTTTAAATTTCATTGTTTTAAACAATTTATTTAATATATATAGTCGCTTTTAAACTCAGAGCAACACTTCTCGTCAGAACTCAGGATGCGCCAATGTCCATACTTCTAGTGACATTGACAGCTCTCAGCTAGGGATTTGACATTTTGCCGATAATCTAGAGATGCGCCGATTCTACACGGTACTAATTTTGTTCTGAACAAATGTTATTATTGAATGTTATTTTATACATTTCCAGGTGTGTAGGATATGTCTGGCTACGGACAGAAAACTGTACCATATAGCAGATTATAAATTAAATTTGCCATATCAAGAAATAACTGGATTGTTGGTGAGTTTTGTGTTTAATGTCAGTAGACAAATGGACTGTTACCTTTGTTGTGTGTGTGCAATGAGTGACATTTCAGCCGAGTGAGGATGACAATTTGCCGCAGAAGTTGTGTTGGGAGTGCACACACAGACTTGTGTCGTGTCACAGGTTTAGGAACAAGGCAATCATGAGCCAGAGACTGATGACAGATTTATTATCAACTGAGACACATGTAAGTTTTGTATAATTCACATTATGTAGTTAATTTTATTTAATACTTGTTTTTCCTGAAGAATTCGTTGATAAATATTATAAATATATATATACTAGCTGTTCCCATGCGACTTCATCCGCTTTAAATTTTATATTATTGTTTACATTTGTCAAATTATCAATAGCAAATGTCAAAATGACATGACATGACAATCTTGCTTCCTTGATGTTGGCAGCAACTTATGGTCTCTTTCCCACATTAAGGTTATTATCAAAATATTTACCCCCTAAGTGTAATGTCGTGAAATATATAGTCTAAAGCGTGACGTAAGTGTAGGGCTTTATATTAAAAAAATAATAATTCAAAAATATGGTGTAATTGCTGACATCTTAGGCAACAAAGAAGTATGTGTTTACGCTTTATTATAATAGTGTAGATATAGATAGATAATTTATTTTCAGTTAACAATTCAAATGGTGAAAAATATAAATAAAAACGAACATGGATTAAATACGAGTTTAGTACAAAAATATTATGAACCAAATGATTGCGACTTACATGTTAATCAAGGCATTTTGAAGACTGAGTTCTCTGATACCGATGACGTCGTCGATGACGTCATTGATGACGTATATAATTATGACGTCAAAGTCCAGGCTGTGCCTTTACTGGAGTTAGAAATCAAACGTGAAGATAATGGGATGTTTGTAAGTGATCATCATTTTGAAAGTGAAGATGATAGGAAATTGAGTGAAATGAACGTAAAGAAACAGAAGGTGAAAAGAAAAAAGAAGGTAAAAGTCGAGAAGAAGCAAGTGAAAGTGAAAAATGATGATGATAATCCGCTAATGACTATGGATAGGTATATTTTATTTTATTGTTACTGTTACTTACTGATAACGTAGTTTTTTAGTGGTGAAAGAATTTTAAAAAAGCCCGCTTTAACATCTTTGCACTGCAGAGCTCGCCCAGTGTAATACCACAACCACACAAGACAGGCGTGAAGTGGAAGCAATTCCGCGTACAGTCTGATGAGTGTGGTGCCAGAGGCCTTATTTTATTCCTTTCCCTATCCACCCTTCTCTTAAGAGGGAAGGATGGTAAGGAAAGGAGGATTTAGGACGCATAGGAAGGGGAAATGTCCTCTTTATGTGCGTCTCCGTCAATAAAGGGTATACAACGCTGCAATTGCGGATGTTTATGGGCAGCGGTCGCTTTCCATTTCGGTGGATTCATGACGCTTGCTCGTTTGCCACCTTATATGATTAAAAAAAGTAACACATCCATCCATCTAAACTTTCGCATTTATTATAGTACGAGCTATTGCCCGCGACTTCGTCCGCGTGTTATTAGAAAACATACAAACTATATAAATTACAAAAAGTTACGTATCCCTCGGGAACCGAACATTTCTCGGGCATGAACCTTATCCCATGTGTACTCCACACTTTGTTTTATATCTGTGACAAATTTCAATAAGATATGTTGTACCGTTGCAGAATGATCGAGTAAACATTAAAAAACTAAATTAATGAATCCCACGGGAACCGTAACTATTCCTGGGATAAAAAGTAGCCTATGTATTCCAGACTACTCTAAACCTGTGCCAAATTTCATGGAGATCCGTTCAGCAGTTTAGGCTACAAACTAACAAACATCCAACTAAACTTTCGTATTTATAATATTAGTAACATGAGTAACATAATATTTTCAGGTACAAAATCTCTGATGTTAAACGAAGAAAGCATATAGATGGGTTAGATGAAACATTATTTACTATAAAAAATCTCACATACGAAGAACAGATAGAAGAAATAACTAAACGACAGTTTACAACTTCTTACACAACTGCTCCGTACAAATGTGATGTTTGTTTTAAAGGTTTTATAATAAAAGATAGATTCGACGCACATATAGTGAGACATACAGAGGTGAGATGCTTGTTTTCTACCGTGACTCCGTCTGTATATTATAAAAATGTAAAAAAATATAGCCTATATCACTCTCTGATAATTTAGCTTTTTAATGGTGAAAGAATTTTTTAAATTACCCAAGTAGTTTTTGAGTTATACTATTACATACAAAAATAAAAATCTTTTTATTATAGACTACGCCGACGACTCTGTGTAGAATTAAAAAACTTAAGTAATTCTGTAATTTCCAGACTATTACATTTATAATATTAGTACATATAACATACTACACTTTACAGTGGTAGTGCCCGCTTTAACATGTTAGCACTGCAGGGCTCAGTCCCAGTAATACCACGACCACACAGAAGACAGCCGTCAAATGGAAACAATTCCGTGTTTCGTCTGATGAGTGTGGTGCCGGAGGACTAATTTAAGTCCCTTTCTCTTTACCACCCTTTTCTCACAAGAAGAGGATGGGAAGAGGAAGTGGATTTGACGGTGGAGATGCATAGGAAGGGGAAATATCCTCTTTATGTGTGTTTCCTCCGTCGGATAAGGGTAAGCTGTAATTGCGGATGTCTATGGGCAGTCGCTTTGCCATTTTGGCGGATTGAGGTGGTCGTTTGCCACCTTATGTTATAAAAAAAAATACTGAGTGTTTTTATTTATGTAAATTCAAAGCCTAAAACAAATTTAAACTTTTATCTATTATTCTCAGGAGAAAGTTTGGATGTATGGATGGATGTTTGCTATAGTTTTTATAGTGCTATAGTGTAGCCTAAATAGGTGAACGGATTTCCATGAAATTTGGTATAGATGTAGAGGAAAGTCTGGAAGAACACACAGACTTTTTTTTTTTTTAATTCTACGCGATCGGAGTCGCGAGCAACAGCTAGTTATTTACATAGATATGTGTTTTTGAATATGTGAAAAATGTCTCATGTGAAGTGTCAACAATGCTTTTTTTTTAAAAAAAACTGTTGTGATACGTTTTTTTCAGCAAAGTGGTGCATATGAATGTTTCGTATGTAAAACTCGTTTGAAATCAGCGAGGGCTTTGAGAAAACATTTAACATCGCAACATACGGAGCAGTTCAATTGTAAAGGATGTCCATTTGTTACTAGGAATAGGTAATACAAATAAATCTATATTATAATAAAGCGTAAACACACACTTTGTTGCCTAAGATGTCAGCAATTACACCATATTTTTGAATAATGATTTTTTAATAAAAAGCCTTACACTTCGTCACGCTTTAGGCTATATATTTTCACGCTATTAAACTTAGGGGGTAAATATTTTGGATAAAAACTCTTAATGTGTGAAAGAGACCATAAGTTGCTGCCAACATCAAGAAAGCAAGATTGAAAAATTTGTAATGTCATGTCATTTTGACATTTGCTATTGATAATTTGACAAATGTAAACAATAAAATAAAATTTTCATAATTTCATGCAAATGAAGTTGAACGGGAACCTCTAGTGTACAATATTTGAATACAAATACAGGGTGATTATACTACAAATACAGGGTGATTATACTACAAATACAGGTGATTATACTACAAATACAGGGTGATTATACTACAAATACAGGGTGATTATACTACAAATACAGGGTGATTATACTACAAATACAGGGTGATTTTTTCTACAAATACAGGGTGATTTTTTCTACAAATACAGAGTGATTTCAATACCAATACAAGATGATTCTAAATGAATGGGTTAAATTAATAAATATAGGAGAATATATGTTTTATTCTTCCAGAGGAGTTGCGAGAGAACATGAGAAATGGCACGCAGGTACTAAATACCAATGCCCGCATTGTCCCTGCGAATTTGAGTAAGTTTGTAGAGCGTTGTCTCTGTCGCACTTAGTAGTAAGTCATATGTGTGAGAGAGACAACCATATAGATCTGAGCTCCCACTTTATCTATACTATTGTAAAGAGGATTTTTTTTTTGTATCGGAATAACACAAAAACTATTGGTTCGATTTCAAAAATTCTTTCACTATTAAAAAGCTATCGTTATCAGTAACATAGGCTAAATTTTTACTTGCTTTTGAAATCGGTCCAGTATTTAAGTTATTTCAATACATATAAAAATACAAATCTTGCCTCTTTATCTTTAGTATAGATTTCTTGATAATCTGCATTTTCAGTTTTTAACCTCTTTTTAGTAGATTTTATAACATTAATAAAATAAATATGGCTTATATTACTAGCTTTCGCACGCGACTTCGTTCTCTTAGAATTTAAAAAAAAAAGTGAGTAGTCTATTATATCAGACTATTCTCTACATCTATATACGAAATTTTGTCAAGATCCGTTCAGCAGTAGGGTACAAACATCCATCCATCCAAACTTTCGCATTTATAATAGTAATATATTTAACAGTGGTAGAGCCCGCTTTAACATTTGCACTTTACTCTACGCAATATCACGACCATACAAGACAGGCGGGAAGTGGAATCAATTCCGCGTACTGATGAGTGTGGCGCCGGAGGCCTCATTTTAGTCCATTTCCCTTTCCGCCCTTTTCTTAAGAGGAAAGGATAAGAAGGAAAAGTGGATTTGACGGTGGATACGCATAGGAAGGGGAAATATTCTCTTTATGTGCGTCTCCGTCAATGAAGGGTAGGCAGCGCTGCAATTGCGGATGTTTATGTGCAGCGGTCGCTTTACATTTCGGTGGATGCAGTCCGCTTGCTCGTTTGCCACATTATAATATAAAATTATATTATTTTCAGCAAATTAACAACTTATATGGGTCATATTCGGATAAAACACGTATCGGATTTCGTTTGTGAACTTTGCGGTTATACGTTTGTTAGTCAAAAAGGTATTGAAGTACATAAAAAGAAGAAACATCGATTACACGATAAAACGGTCAGTTGATTTATTTACTAGCTTCCGTCCGCGAATTTGTCCGCGTGGTAATAAATACAGAAGTAGCCTATGTGTCCTTCCAGACTATCCTCTACATCTATGACTTTCATTGAAATCCGTTCAGCAGTTTAGGCTACAAACTCTAACAAACATCCATCTAAACTTTAAATATATATAATTATTAAATACTAGCTTTTGCCAGCGACTCTGTTCGCGTGGAATAAGAAAAAACAAACGTAAGTAGCCTATGTATTCTTCCAGAATATCCTCTACATCTATGACTTTCATCGAAATCCGTTCAGCAGTTTAGGCTACAAACTCTAACAAACATCCAAACTTTTACATTTATATTCGTAAGATTCTATAGATTTCAACATGTTATTAAATATGGAGAAACAAAATCCATGTATCCTACGGGAACCGTAACTATTCCCGTGATAAAAAGTAGCCTATGTGTTCTTCCAGACTATGCTCTAAACCTGTGCCAAATTTCATGGAGATCCGTTCAGCCGTTTAGGCTACAAACACTAACAAACAAACATCCATCTAAACTTTCGCATTTATAATATTAGTAAGATTGTGTCAATAATTTCAGATAAGTTTAGAAGGTCCGTATTGCGAATTGTGTGATGTCAGATTTATATCAGAAGACGCTTACAGCAGACATCTTAAGTTATCTTCTAGACACAGCAGCGATGACGATCCGTAAGTTAATTCATTCACTTGAAGTTAAAAATAAACAGCCTAAGATACTGATTGATAAATTAGCTATATAATAGTGAAAGAATTTTTGAAATTGCCCCAGTAGTTTTTGAGTTATTTCAATATATACAAAAATATAAATTTTTCCTCTTTATAATATTATTATAGTATAGACTAGCTGTTGCTCGCGACTTCCCGTGATAATAAAAATAAAGCCTATGTTACTCTATAAATTACCTTTCTAATGGTGAAAGAATTTTTGATACTGTCCCAGTAGTTTTTGAGTTATTTCAGTACATACAAAAATATAAATCTTTCCTCTTTATAATATTAGTAGCTGTTGCTCGCGACTTCCCGTGATGGTAGAAAATAGTAAAAATAAAGTCTATGTTACTCTATAAATTACTTTTATAATGGCCAAAGAATTTTTGAAATCGACCCAGTAGTTTTTGAGTTACTTCTATAAACAAAAATACAATTTTTTCCACTTTCTAATAGTATAGATGAATATTTTTAGAGGAATTAATGAGTATAAGGTAAGTATTGGGGCAATATGGTCTAATAGTACAAGTTTAGACTGAAAAAATTGCTTAAAATATAAATGCGAATAGGATAAGATACGAAATGAGTATATTAGAGGAAGTGAGAGTATCCCCAGTGGTAGAATGTAAGGAGTAAAAGGTTAGCATGATATGTTATGAGGGTTGAATCGCATGTTACAAGAACGTTAGTTATGAGTGTACACCGGTAGAGGTTAGTCTATGGCTTAATCGGACATCTGCAAGTGTGTACTAGTACAATTGGGAAAACGTACTAGTACACACTTTTAGTACCTTTAGTACTTCAGATTTGTGAAAACACAATACATGAATAGAATATAACGAGCGTTATAGATTACTTCACATCAAATTTTAATCAGGGTCAAACATATATTAGCGAGAATAAATTTAAGTTATAAATGATTTTATCCACTTTTCACTTTTATTACCGAGGGATGCTTCAATCTGGCAAATATTCAATCAAATCAAACAACGAAGAGGCGAACACTGATATCGTGTATTGTACTAAAAGTGCCAAATGTCTGATAAACAGAAGCCGTTCAGTAACGTTACTTTTATTACAGTGCCGAGTAACATTACTTTTTAGTACGTCGTACGTGTACTACCCAAGACTAGTAGAGGTAGACGTAGAAAGAGATGGATTGTGTGAAAGGTGACATGATCAAGGGAGTGATGACTGAGATGACGTATAGAGTTTGGACAAAAACCTTTTGCGCGAACGGGAGTAGGATAACAAGTATGATGAATTTCTTTCTATTGTAGGAATAAGATACGCAATGATTCTCAAAGTATGAACACAGAGAGTGTTCGAGTACGTTCCGTACGTCGTATAGAGAGACGACCGATGATCCACGCGCGCGACGTCGCTAACGACGCTGATATAACCCATCACGGACCTATTGCATGCGAACAGGTTAGTTCACAGGTTCCCATTTTTGTACTCTAGACCACATTCTAAAATAAATAAAAAAGGGGTTTTTATTTGCAAAAAAAAACTAGATATGAAAATATATACAACCTTAGAGCAAGTAAAAAAAATGTGGCAAAAGATTGCAAGCTCAGTTAATGCAGGGATGGCGGAGGTCCTTTTATATGTCTTTTTTGATGTTTCGATTTAGATTTCGCCCACGACTCAGTCTGCGTGGAATTAAAAAAAAATATTGTCCTATGTGTTCTTCCAGTATTTCTACATATGGGCGTCACAGCCATGTTATGCTTTATTAAAATATAGTCTTCATTATCTCTTATGTTTTCTTCCAATTTGCACACAATAACCTTACCAATATGGCCGTCGTGTCGGCGAGCTAATGCCGCCCTTATGTTTGACATCCGACTACTATCCGATTATTAACATAACAAGCACAATTACGACATTTTTAAACCATGACATAAATGTTTTAAATAATGTTTTGGATGACAATTACAAAGATTACATCGTTATTTCAAATTATGACAAACTAGCTGTTCTCGTGCGGCTTCATCCGCATTAAAATATGAAAAATTTATTTTATTCTTTACATTTGTCAAATTATCAATTACAAATGTCAAAATGACATGACGATGGCAACTTTGCGTGCTTGATGTTAGCAGCAACTTATGGTCTCTTTCCCTCATTAGGGATTTTATCCAAAATATTTACCCCCTAAGTTTATTGGCGTGAAAATATATAGCCTAAAGCGTGACGCAAGTGTACAGCTTTTTATTAAAAAAAAGAATTATTCAAAAATATGGTGTTGTTGCTGTCATTAGGCAACAAAGAAGTGTGTGTTTACGCTTTATTATAATAGTATAGATGGTATTATTTTATAGCACAGACTAAATAATCTTCAAGAATACAGAATACATCAAAATAGTTAAAAATCTAACATACATGTATGACAATCATCGCGATCCGTTCAACAGCTTAGAATACAAACTAACATACATCTAAACTTTCACATTTATTAGTAAGACGCGATAGTTTAGATGTATGTTTGTATTTGCTGAACGGATTTCGATGTTTATCATAGACTTACTGTAGCTCGCGACTTCGCCCGCGTGTAATAATAGCCTATGTTGCTCACTGATAACGTAGCTTTCTAACGGTGAAAGAATTGAAATCGACCCAGTAGTTTTTGAGTTACGTCAATACAAATATACATAACTACCTCTTTATTATATTAGTATAGATGTTTAGATACTGGAAGAACACATAGGAAAATATTTTTTTAATATCTCATGTATTGTGGCGAGTTAGATAAGTTAAAGTCCAAGGGAAACAAAACATTTTAAGTTATAGAGGTTTTAAGTTATCAATGTTCTATGTTATAGAGGTTTTGGGCTCTGATGAGAAGGGAACATAATATTTTTTGAAGTTATAGAGGTTTTTATGTTACCATGGTTTGAGTTATCGATGACTGTATTAGTATATTTTATATTTCAGTGTGGTGTACAATTAAGAGATTTACGTCTTTACGCTCAACATTTCCGACGAGAACATCCAGATAAGAATCGTACCAAATATCCCGCTATGAAAACACCAGCTATGTGTGAAAGATGTGGGAGGATATTCCAGGTATTTAACAGTGGTAGAGGCCGCTCTACCATGACAGTGCAGGCTCTCAGCAATACCACGACCACAGACAGCGTCAAGTGGAAGATATTCCGTGTACTGATGAGTGTGGTGCCGGAGGACTCATTTCAGTCCATTACCTTTTGCTACCCTTTTTTTATAAGATGGGAAGGGGAAGTGTATTTGACGGTAGAGACGCATAGGAAGGAGAAATGTCCTCTTTATGTGCATCTCCGTCAATGAAGGGCAGGCAGCGCTGCAATAGCGGATGTTTATGTGCAGCGGACGCTTTACATTTCGGTAGATTCAGGTTGTTTGCTCGTTTGCCACATTATGTTATTAAAAATGTTATATCTATACTAATATTATAGCTTGCAGTGTCTGTATCTTTCTAGCTTTACAGTATTTTCCAATTTATTTATCCTCCTAAGTTTAATAGCGTGAAAATATGACGCCTAAATCGTGTAAGTGTAGGGCTTTTTATGTAAGAAAGAATTGTCCAAAAATATGCTATGATTGACATACTACGTCACGAAGTGTGTACGCTTTATTATGTTTAATACTAGTTGTGACTTCGTCCGCTTAAAATTAAAAAGAACAAAATTAAAAAAATAACAAAATATTTATTTAGGCCGTGTTATTTTTTAATTTCACGAGGGCGAAGTCACGAGCAATAACTAGTACTTAATATAATAAAGCGTAAACACACTTCGTGGCATAGTATGTCAGAAATCACAGTATATTTTTGAATAATTCTTTCTTTAATAAAAAGCCCTACACTTACACGCTTTAGGCTATATATTTTCACGTTTTCAAACTTAGGGGGTAAAAAAATTGGAAAAATCCTCATGTGGGAAAGGGACTATATACTGTTGGGCTGGCACATGTCAAACATCCATACAAACTAGCTACTAGTAAAAATGTATTTTTCCAGAGTATGGCTTTACTAAAAGACCACATGTGGGTCCACACTGGTATCAAGCGTTTTAAATGCTCAAGTTGCGAGAAGAGTTTCACACAACGTAGTAACCTGATGTTACATTTGCGAGTGCACAGTGAACAACGACCTTTATACGAATGTCCACTTTGCGGGAAACGGTTCGCATTCTATAATAATAGAAGAAGGCATATGTTTGTAAGTATTTTTGTATATGTTAATTAAATGTAAGATTTTTTGGGTTTCGCCGTTTTGGCGAAATTTCGAAAATACAAATCTTTCCTCTTTATAATATTAGTATAGATAGATATAGATTATTTATATCTTTTTTTATTAAATGTAAGTTTTTTTGTTTCGCTGATTTGGCGAATTAACGTCACATGCTTGTCATGATATAGTATAATCACTATCGTTCGCAACTTCGCCCGATGGAAAAAAAAATAGTAATAAATAAAGCCAATGTTACTTCTGATAACATATTTTTTGATTGGTAAAAGAATTTTTGAAATATGCTTGGTAGTTGTCGAGTTATTTTAATACAGAAAAATTTAAATTTTAATACAAATGTTTCCTCTTTCTTTGTTGATTAAATGTAGGCAAAATTTAAAGGTTTCGCTGTTTTGGCAAATTATAAGTAGCAAACGAGCGATATGCCAAGAGAATTCGTGTAAATGCCTACCCTTAATTTTTTAACTAACTGATTTTGAGAAAATTTGGTCTAGATGCAGAACATAGTCTGGAAAAACATCTTTTTTTTAATTCTACGCGTACGGAGTCGCGGGTGAAAGCTATACTATAAATAATATCGTTTCAGATTCATACTGGTTTGAAACCTCACCGTTGTGAAACTTGTGGCAAATGCTTCACAACAGCGGGCGAACAACGCGCCCACGTGCAGCATGTCCATCTCAAGAAACCCTGGCCAAGGCGTGCGCGGGCACGTCGCGACTGGGCTAAACCGCAACCCTAGCGCTTTTGACAACCCTAATATGCAACCCTAACTTCTAGTGATGAAACCGGTGTATCTTGTGACAACCCTAACTTCTAGTGATGAAACCGGTGTATCTTGTGACAACCCTAACTTCTAGTGATGAAACCGATGCATCTTGTGACAACCTTAGCACAGTGCAACCCTAAACTCTAGTGATGAAATTGGTGTATCTTGTGACAACCCTAACTTCTAGTGATGAAACTGGTGCATTTTGTGACAATCCTAACACAGTGCAAACCTAACATCAATATTGCATCTACGCAGCGCATTTACACTAAACTCCTGGTTAACCCTGGTAAACCCCAACACAGTGTAACCCTAACTCCAATGCAGACGAACAGAGCAGTTATACAAAAGCTTAATCCTAGGGATGAAACTGGTGCATCTTGTGACAACCCTAACATACTAGTAACCTTTTCATCACTACTGCAGGCAACCAGCACTACAGTACTGAGTCACAATGTGACAAAGATACTAACACATGTTACTAGTAATTAAATTGTCTATCGTGAGACATTACTTTAAGCATAAATTAATTAAAAACTGCTGTTACTAGGTTGTCAACAATATGACAATTTTTTTATAATGTGACAAACCTAGTATCACTAATTATTACCGACTGAGGCAATCCTAGCATCACTATTATGGCAGTCATAAAACAATATCAAGCCATCATAACCCATTATCTGACAACCTTAGATTTGATAGAAAAAACCAAATTTGTGTCATTTGGCAACACTAACACAACAGGTGATAGAACTCGATGGGATTGCGGCAACACTATACCTTACATAGCGACTTATACAATAAATTCTAAAATGATTCAACCCTACAATATGTACAGCCATACCTACAGCTGCCCTTGTCCAATTTAAACCCAAGCAACAGTTGCTATAGCTCTCTCTGTCACACACATTAGATACAATAAGTGTGAAAGAGTTAACTACTAAATATTGACTTCTTTTTGAATTATGAATGTAAAAAGTATCAATATAATATGTCTGATATTTAAAAAAATTGTGACTCCTACTAAGCCTACTATTGCTAAATTTTTGTGTGTTTTTTCTGTGTGTCCTATTTATTTATTTAATGATTAAGGATTTATATGAAATTTGTAAAATACATGAAATAAAATTATTTATCTGTTTACTTGTCTTATTTACAAAGTTGGTAACATTGTAAAGTGTATATTTTATAACGAATCATAAAGCTCTTTATTATTATTCTTTTCACTGAAATTCCTAAAAAAAGTAAAAACCAACCAGTATTTAATTGTTTTTTATAAATAAGAAATAAAAATTCGATTTCACTTGATACTTTCTTAAAATGAATATTTAATGTTCCACTTTTGAATCTATTTAAAAAATTCTATCTCAATAGTGGTTTAATTTTGCATAATGTTCATGGGGACTAAAATAACCGTAAATAGCTACCATAATATCTTACTAATATTATAAATGCGAAAGTTTAGATGGATGGGTGTTTGTTAGAGTTTGTAGCCTAAGCGGCTGAATGGATCTTGATGAAATTTGGCATCGACGTAGAGGATACTCTGGAAGAACACATAGGCTACACATATTGTTTTCTTTAATTCCACGCGGACGGAGTCGCGGGCAAAAACTAGTATTAAATAATTACATATCCATCTATGCTTAGAAGCTTAAGTAGAATAAAGTATGAATTATATTATAGATGAGTAAACAGACCTGAAATTATACGTTCGTTGCAGATTTTTGAAACCTTTAAAACTACATTTAAACATGCAAATATATTGAAACACTATTTATACATTCACAAATATTAACATTCCACCCTTGTTTCCATTTTGTTTTATAGTAAAACGTCTATTGTTTTTTCTCTTTTTTAATATTTTTTATTGTTGTGACATTTAATGCCAAATTAAATCTGTCATTGTCAAAGGGTACCTTGTACCTAAGAACAAAAATGATCGAAACCAACTGATCAAGAATTCTGTTTAATTTTAATATGTGATTTTTTATTTAAGTGCATTTTTACTTTCACACTTTTATTTTATAACACTGCATATCCAGAAAATGTTTTAATTATTTAAGATGTTAAAAAGTCTATTAATTTTTATTATCGAAATGGAACGCTGTACTCTATTTCTATAAAAAATGCAAAACATTTTTCGGCGGGAATTGACTTATTTTGCCGCGGTCGTCAAATTCTATTATTTGGGAATAAATAAAACTTCTTATTTGTGTAATTCTTTATTTGCGTTCAACTTGAACTCAGTAATCTTTGTATCAAATTGTTATTTTAATTTTAAAATAATATATTAACTTTAATTTGTACAAATAATTATTATCGGTTAATTTTTAAATTAAATGAATTACGTGCGACAAGGATAGTAGCATATGTTTTGTATAAGAGTGAAAGTATAATCAACTATGATTATATTTATGCAATATTTGTCAGTTTTATTTTAAATTCTCTATCTATTTCCTCAACAGACATTTTGTTAATTTGTTAGAGGAGTGCAAGGCGCGAAAGTGAAAATTTTATTTAGTGCAAGAGTTTTTTCGTATTTAAGTTTCTGAAAGAGTAAAACGTAAGTATTTATCGTTATATTTAATTTTAACATCTTTTATGTTAATAAGAATGTGTATAAAATGTATTTACAACATATTAGTTACGAAATATTTAATTAAAGTATACATATTCATTTCAATTTCTATCATTTAGGCTATAACGAATTTTAACTTTTGGGTTTGAAATTGCTCTAAATATATAGAAAAAGTTTTAAAATTCAATTGATGATTTCTTTACACTTTACAACAAACTTTTTTTGCTGTTTTAACATGGGTTATTCCTTTACTTGTTACCGCTCCATAATGAGAAATTTTCTCTAAATTGTGTGTAAAAATCGATCGCATTGGTGCTATTGAGATATTGCTTTTTTATTTAGTCACCATGGCACATTCGAAGTTGAGACAGTTGCCGCGCATCAGTTATTTTGAACCTGAAGACCCAAGTTTCGACGAATATATCTGTAAGTGTATCTTACTAAGATCTCCATATATCTTTATTTACATATTTACTACATGATTTCTATAAATATAAAAATGAATGTAAAACATATTATGTAAAAAATAGAGCACCCCTGGCTGCGGAATCCGATCCATCAAGCAACCAGTGGTCAGGGTTGCAGACCCAAGAACCTCCTCACAATGTGTGCGGTTTCTAAAATAACCGCCTTTTGAATCGGGCTCCTAATCCATCTGTCTAGCGAGAGCTTCTTGAGATGTTGGTTGGTGTTACTAATAATGTGAAATTTTAGATGGATGGATGTATCTTAGAGTTTACCGCCAAAACGGCTGTACTGATCTTGATGAAAGTCGTAGATGTAGAGGATAGTCCAACTATTTTTGTTATTTTAAAGCAAAAAAACACGTCAATTGAATAATGTCGAAGATGTTAACTACTTAAATTAGTTTCTTAGTTTTTTAACATTTTGTAATAGATTGTTCAGGCTGCCGTGACTACGTGTATGATATGTGCCCTCAGCACGGACCTCTACTAATTCTGCCGGATACGAAGGTAAGTTTTCAGTTCCTGTCATCAACTTGCCCTTATCCTTACGGAAGGTTGGCACAGTATGTGCTCTTCCATACATCTCTATCAGCCATATCTGAATACAATCCTTTCTCAAGCATATCCTCTTTCACACAATCTATACTTTCCTCGGTCTTCTTCTACCTTTGTAGCCAACATTCAATCTTAACACTTTCTGGTTTATGTCATAACATGTCCATACCACGCTAACCTTTTGCTTCTCAATTTCTCCACCACTGGCGCTACTTTTAAATTTCCTCTAATATACTCTTAACTTTGTCTAAAGGGCGCTTCGCCTTTTTGGCAAATTCAGACGGCCGCTCGCTCGTTTTTCGCACTATGATTTATTGCTCGCGATTTTGTCCACGTGAAATTAAAAATATAATCTGTTACTATAAAACGTAGCTTTTAATGTGAAAGAATTTTTGAAATCGGCCCAGTAGTTTTTGAATTATTACAATACATACGAAAATACAAATCTTTCCTCTTTATAATATTGGTGTATTTTGCTGCGTGTTACATCTTCTAGTATTTGTTTAACGTAGGTTCCAGAAGTAACAAATTATCCTCCGTACGTTCCTCGGGCAGCATTAACTATACCAAAGGCGTTTCTACATATCAATAGATCTTGTATACCAGGTATGATTTTTTTGTGACTGAATAGGCAATAATGTCGCCAAATTGGACCAAACTCTTTAGGTATTTATTTTAAGGTATAAAAGCATACCTGTAAATATTTTTTTAAAATATGTAATGTGATTTAGTGGCGAAAAGTCATTAAAAAGTGTCTTTTTTGAAATTCTAAAACGCAACGCTATTATCGAAGCAAGTGACTTATCTATTATGGCGTCATTGTGTTGACAATACACAGTTAATTTACGGTAGTTTTTGTATAAATTCACTCTTGAAGTATTTTATTGTAAACACGATATCAAAACAAACTTTTAAATAAAATTATAAATGAAAAGAATCATCAATTGCCACTTATAATAAAAATAATAAAAATTAATCGATTTTTGACTTTTGAACAACTGAGAACCAATCAGATTCTTTGATGTTTTTTTATATCGAAGTGATATCTGAGCGAATATGATGAATGAAATCTGACGATTGACGTCACGTGTCTCATGCCAACTGCGTTTTAGTCGCACGAAAATGATCGTAATCTTTTATATTATTTTCAGCTCAATGGTTGCTTTTCGAGTCAATGTTTTTTTCTGGTTATCTTGTAACAAGTAGAATTGTTTAAAAAAAACATGCATATTCCCTATTCACTAGTATCTGTAGTAAAAATAAGAGAATGACGTTTTTAACATTTTAAACTATGCTTTTTTAATACTACGGGAATGAAGTTACGGTATAAACCTACTAGACATTTCCTAAAAATAATTTTTTCGACTAAATTTTAAATGTTAAATTTCACGAGTATAAGAATATTTAGGTGCTGGTCTGGGAGTGTTTAGTTCAGTGACTTTGCCAAACGGCGTACGCTTCGGACCTTACCGCGGTGTTGTCAAGAAATATCCAGATTCAAGTTACTGTTGGCAAGTAAGTTTCCATTTTATTTTTTATATTTTTTTATAATATAAGATGGCAAACGATTAAGCGGCCTGAATCCACCGAAATGGAAAGCGACCGCTGCACGTAGACATCCGCAACTACAGATGCGTTGCCTACCCTTCATTGACGGAGGAGGAGACGCACATAAAGAGGACATTTCCCCTACATCTCCTCCACCCTCAAATCCACTTTTCCTTTCAATCCTATCCTCTTAAGAAAAGGGTGGAAAGGAAAAGGGAATAAAATTAGGCCTCCGGCACCAGACTCATCAGACGAAACGCGGAATAAAAAAAATGTTCAATATAACGCAAGGCTACAATGTGCATAAATAACTATATTTTTATATCGCATTTTTTCACTCCAATTTTATTAACTGTATAACTTATGTAATATCGTTTTATGTTGATTTTATCTTGGATTTTTTTAGGTTTTGTATCTATAGAGAATGACTGATCACAGAATCATTTAGTGACCACTAAAGACGTCCCTTGTAAGTTGTAACATACGTTACATCTAGGGTTGAAACGGAACTGTACCATCTGTATTTTGAATTAACGTAGTTTTAGTTTTTGTTTCTTTGATAAATCGCAATTAATATTTTATTATTGGCCTCCGCTTCCGCTTCCGTTAACCTCCGCTTCTGCAGAGGTGAAGCCCTTCGCCTTCGCATTCGCTTCCGTTAAAATTTCCTCCGTTCAACCCTAGTTCCATCTAAAAAGCTGTTTAGTCAACTATTCAACGACTTTAAGTGCGTTTATAGTGCTTCTAGCTGTCTTTATGGGTTTAAATCTTTTAGTTTTGATATATTAGTTACTGAAAATAATATAGTTAACTACTTTAACGAATACTGTTTTAGAACTAAAGTTTGTATGTAGATATTCGACAAAAACAACAAGCCGTCCCACGTAGTGGACGGAGGCGATGGCCACCGCTCAAACTGGATGCGGTTCATCAACT